GGGGGGGGGGGGGGGGCGAGCGCGTGGAGCGATCTGGACAGGATGCGTGATTGGGCGGCAGGAAAGTAGTATTCAGGGGATAGGGGGAGTGATGGGTGACGGGATATGTGTTGGGAGGGAGAGTTATGCGCGGGGGAGGGGGGGATTGGTCGCGATGCGGGGATCGGGGTGGTCTGGTCCGGCGAGGGGGGGGATCCCTCACACTCTACCTGCTCCCGGCTCTCCCTCCTTGGACACAACAGATACGGCCAAAGCGGGCATAGTTCCGAGAACTATACTTCCTCATGCCTAAAGTACATCAATCGCCACATTCTCTTCCATCCCAAACCACAGCCGTACTCCGATCCCTCCTGCCATGCCCGTTCCCAGTAGCCAATAACCCCCGTCGTCCCCAGCCCAGGTTGAGTCGCACAGGACGGAGTATGAGGACGAGATGACCAGCTCGGCCACACCTCGCTCACGTCGCCAGCACAGACACACACGCATACGCACGCAAACGCACGCGCACGCACTGTTACCACAGCAGACAGGCAGACGCATCTAACCACTTTCACCAAGAGACTCGCACGGCATGGCTGTAGAGGCGACCAAGCTGGCGGCCGAGCCTCCGCAGCGGTCTGTCCGTGGGTATGACGAGGACGGGCTGAAGGTAGGTGGATGGGAGGGAAGCGGGAGGGGCAGGAAAGGAGGGCGCCGGGGATGGCTATGGCTCACGTGTAGGTGCTGGATCGGATGGCGGATGTGGGTGTGTCGGGCAGCACGAGGTCGATGCGGCAGTGGCAGAGGGGATGAAGGCGAGGGAGGTGGCGGAGAGGGCGTGCAAGGAGAACGACTTTGCTATGGTTCAGTACCTGTTGGAGAGTGGGGCGGTGAGCATCGATGAGCCCGTCGATGGCTACGGCAATCGGATCGCCCACTATGCTGCGCTCAAGAGAAACGTCGGCGCCCTGCGGATGGCGCTCATCGCCGGCGCAGACGTCAACATGTGCAACGATGACGGATCGTCGGTGGTGCGGTCGGCGGCAGTCGGCGGGTGCGCCGAGGTGGTAGCGGTGCTTCTGGCAGCAGGCGCCGATCCGAACGTGGGCTCGGACTCGGGATCGACACCGCTGCATCAGGCGGTTGATCGCGGGTTTGCGGGCGTGGTCAAGGTGCTGCTCGACGGCGGAGGCGACCACAACAAGTGTGACAAAGCTGGGCGGACACCGCTGATGGTGGCTCTGTCCAAGTGGCAGGGCCACACGCTCGAGGCTGCGGCGGCGTCAGTCGACCTCATGATCGACGCTGGCTCGATCGACTGGACCCAGCGCGACGGCGAGGCCAACTCGATCCTACACTTTGCTTGCCAGAATGGCAAACTGGCGTCAATTGTAGACGTGCTCCCGACACTGTCGCCGTCGGCATTTGAGGCCAATGCAAGTGGCGAGACTCTGCTGCATGCTGCAGTGACCAACGCCGACAATAGCCGATGGCTGGCGGCGCTGACCAGCCTGCCGCTACTGGATCCGTGTGCTCGAGACGCGGCAGGCAACACTGTGTTGCACCGCATCTTTGCCACACGCGCTGACGAGCCGGACCAGCGAGTCGCCGGCATGCTGGACGCGCTGTTTAGCGTGTACGGAGCGCGTCTCGACGCGCTAGTCAATGAGTTTAACGCCGACGGTGTGACGGCGCTTCTCCTCGCGCTGACCAACGATGCTGTTCCCGACGCGCTGCAGATCCTCGTCGACCATGGCGCAGACGTTGGCCTCGAGCCTCTGCGTGGAGCAAAGTATCCGTCGACCGGGGCCAACTCGCGCAAGCTCTCCCCGCTGCTTTACGCCATCAAGCACAAGCACGTGGCGGTGGTTGAGGTCCTCCTTACCGCGCCGGGTCTTGACCCCGACGCTGTCACCGTCCGCGGCTCGGGGAGGACCGCGCTTCATGTGGCGGTCAAGACCGGCGACGTGGCCAAAGTTGGCGCGCTTCTCGACTCCGGCGCCGATATGTTCCGCGCCGACAAGGCCGGCAAGACGCCAAGCGACCTCGCCCGCAAGGCCGAAGTGGTGGCACTCCTCGAGAAGCGCGGCGGGCGCAAGCGGCCGCGAACTGATGACGAGACTCTACCGCCGCGCAAGGAGGCTGCGCTGCCGCCATGGAAGCGGCGCAAGTATCGGCAGCTGGCGCCTGCAGCCGCGGCGCCTGAACCAGTAGCAGCAGAAGATGAGGCGGGAGCTGGTGCTCCGTGAGGCGACGGTTTACTTTCTCTTGCCGCCCTTACCACCCTTGCCCTTCTTCTTGCCCTTCTTGCCGGACGGGGCCTGTTCCTTGATTTCGACAGACTTGATGACGCCAACAGCGACAGTTCGGCCCATGTCGCGGACGGCAAAGCGGCCGAGAGGGGGAAGGCGGTAAAGGGCTCCACGCACATGGGCATGAGCGGAACAAGGCGGACGAGGGCGGCGTCGCCGACGGCAATGGACCGCGGTGACTCCTCGACAACCTTGCCGGTCCGCTTGTCAAGCTTGGAAATGAGCTCATCAAAGCGGCAGACAATGTGAGCGGTGTGGCAGTCGATCATGGGCATGTAGCCTGTGGAAATGAACAACGGGTGGTTGAGGACAATGATCTGGGCCACAAACGAGCCGACCTCCTGGGCCGGGTTGTCGTTGGCGTTGGACGCCACAAAGCCGCGCTCGATATCGGAGATGCCAAGGCTTTTGACGTTAAACCCAATACTGTCCCCGGCGTTGCCGGCTTCCAGCTGCTCGTGGTGCATCTCAACCGACTTGCACTCGGCAACAGCACCCGAGGGCGCAAACTGGATAGCCATGCCCGGCTGGATGACGCCGGCTTCGACTCGCCCGACCGGGACAGTGCCAAGGCCGTCAATGACATACACGTCCTGAACGGGGATGCGGAGCGGACGCTCGGTCGCCCGCGTCGGCGCCTTGATGCTGTCCAGCGCCTCCAGCAGCGTCGGCCCTGTCCACCATGACATGTTGCTCGACGGCTCGAGCATGTTGTCACCAGTCCAGCCCGAAATGGGGACAAAGGTGACCTTCTTCGGGTTGTACCCGACCTTCTTGATGGCGCTCTTGACCTCGGCCACGATCTCCTCAAACCGCTGCTGCGAGAACTGGACCGAGTCGGCGTCCATTTTGTTGACCGCCACAATTAGCTGCTTGACGCCGAGCGTGTACGCGAGCAGCGCGTGCTCGCGCGTCTGCCCGTCCTTGGAGATGCCAGCCTCGAAGCCGCCACGGGTCCCGTCAATGACCAGCACGGCGCAGTCGGCCTGCGAGGTTCCTGTGATCATGTTCTTGATAAAGTCGCGGTGGCCCGGTGCGTCGATGACCGTCACATAGTAGTTGTTCGTCTCAAACTTCCACAGCGAGATGTCGATGGTGATACCCCGTTCGCGCTCAGACTTGAGCTTGTCCAGCACCCAAGCGTACTTGAACGAGCCTTTGCCGGCCTCACCTGCCTCCTGCTCAAACTTGGCGATCTGCCGAGCGTCGATCCCGCCGCACTTGTAGATTAGATGCCCTGTTGTTGTCGACTTGCCCGAGTCCACATGTCCGATCACCTACTCGCGTGCAACCACAGCAACACCCACCCTCGATGAGTCTCCCGCCAGTATCGGCCACAACTCACGACCCATCAGTTGGCCATCCGTCAGTCAGGTTCGTCGGCCCACAGCTCAGACCATTCCTTGGCTCATCGCTCGGGCCCTTTGTCGGTCGGAGGGAAGGGGGAAGGGGGGTGGGGGGGGGGGGAAGGGAGCGGAAGGAAGGCAAAGGGACACATACCACAATGTTGATGTGGGTTTTCTCATTGGTGGCCGCCATGGTGGGACGCGCTGTGCCGAAAGAGAAGTGGAGGTGTGTGTGAATGTGTGTGTGTGTGTGTGTGTGTGTGTGTGTGTGTGTGTGCGGCACTGGACCGATGTGGGACATAGGCAGAGGCAGAGGCAGAGGCAGAGGCAGAGGTAGAGACACAGCTGGTCAAGCTACGGGCAATCCCACTCCCAAGTCATCGCAGTATCTCTCTAGCTGCTGCTTCATGGCAATGGCATCACTTCTTTCGCGAGGCCGTGAGCGAGACGGCCGAGGTCTTGCCGACCTCGTCCTCGGCAACGAGCGAGTCGCGAAGCATGGCCTGGGTGTCCTTGGACGAGCCAGTGCGCAGCTGCGTGGTAAAGAGCGCTCGCATCTGGGGCCGTACTGAGGCGCGGACCTCCTGGCGAAAAGTGTGCAGGCCGAGATGCGGGGTGGTGCGGAGGACAGCGCCGAGGGCATCGCGCGACTCGTCAGCGACATCGGCGACGACGTCGGCGACATACGAGTCGCCATGCATGCCCTGCCATGCCCCGAGCCCCGACGCGTTGAGTTTGTGACGGGCTCCTACCCGTGACGCAACGGTCGGAGATATTCGCACCACCGACTGGCCGTGAGCGCTTCGTCTCGGCCCGGACGGAGAATGGAGCGAGCGGGCTCCGGGCGTCAGCGCCCGGGACCGCGGCGGCGAACGCGGCGCTGACGGGCTTGCCGAGCTGGCTCCTCCTCGGAGTGGCGACGGAACAACCCGAACGTGGTAGTGGCGATAGGTGTGAGGTGAAGGCGTCGAGACGCCCTTGGACACCAACACGTCCTGAAGCGGATCGCGATCGCCGGTAAATCTCGCCTCGGCCGAGGCATGCGGCGACGGTGAGGACTGGACGCGGCTCACGTTCCCGCGGTTACGTCTGCCTCTGGCCGACTTGCTCTTCTTCCTGCGCCGCCGCTGCCGCTGCGGTCGAGGCTCGCGGCCGTCAACGGACACAGCGGCAATCAGGTGCGCAGCCCACACCCGGCTCGTCCGCTGCCGGCCACCCTCAGCCCGCTTCCGCACCTCATCGCACTCGGACCGCAGCACGTCCGACTCGGGCATGATCGAGCACACATGCTCATACGCGTCTAGAGCCTGCGGCCAGTGCTCTGCTGCCGCCAGCACCTTGGCCAGAGTATGGAGCGCCACAATGCGCTCCGGATCGCGAAAGTCGACCGAGTCTGCAAACGCCGCACATGCCAGATGTGCATCCGTCAGCGCCAACTGATTCATCCGCAAGTGCATAAAGCACTCGGCCCGGCGCACAAGCGCCATCACGTACTCGGGGTCGATCTCCAGGATCTATCCACCTCCCATCACCGCGTCCATCGTCCACACCATCATGATCCACAATGAGTCTCCCCACCCTCTCCCTCCATCCTCCTCCTCCCCCCATCTTCCTCCTCGCTCTCCTCACTCTACATACCTCCGAGTACACCCGTGAGGCGGCCATGTACTCCCCTTCCTCAAAGGCATCCTCGCCAGCGTTGAACAGCTCGTCCACGTCCATGCCGTTGCCTGTTGAGCTTTCCGTCAGAACTAGCCTGTCGCCAATCTGTTCCTCTCCTCTGATCAGCCTTGCTTGTCTCGTCGGCCACTCAGACTCGTCCTGTATCGCCGGCTCCAGTCGGCTAGCGGTCTGTCGCCAATGGCCCGTGCAACCGCCTGCGGACACCGACTCGGGCACGCCTGCGGAGAGAGTGTGAGGGGTACAGCAGCCCTTCGGAGAGGCAAGTACAGTTGTTCCTCTTCCCTTGCTTGCAAAGATTGTTGCTTGCTGGCGCGTGGCAGAGGCAAGTGTTTTGCAGTAAGCAAGGGGTAGGAGAGGGGGAGGAAGACGAGGAGTGGTCAACGGACAGCCGCTCACCCTCAGCTCGGAGCACCGCGGAGGCTACAAGGCACCGCGAGCACTGCTCGCCGTCATCCACTTAGGAACTCATTTACAGCACCCCGGGATGCAAAGCGATGAAGAATACAATTGGCAATGATGGCTTCAGGAGAGGTCATGGATGATTGGATCGGCGACAGCCACCTCGAGCTCGAAGGCATCGACGCGGGCAAACTCGGCGATGAGGCGAGCTTCTTCGGCGGCGGAAGCAGCAGTCCACTCGGCCTGGAAGGCAGCAGTCTTTTGAATCCGCTTGCGCTTGCGGGTCCGCCGCTGAGCAGCGCGCTCGGCGGCAGCGGCACGGATCTGCTCGGCGGCCTGCTCGCGAGCGCGGGCGCGGACCCGGGCGGTGGAAGCGGCGGCCACACGCCGCGACTTGCGAAGCGAGGTCCGCCCGCCCACAGGCTCGGTCTCATCAGCACCGGCCATGACACTCAGCTCGGTGCGGGCCGGCGAGGTCAGAGTGCGGGCCATCGAGCGACTCATCATCATTGATGCCGCCCGCGAGTTGGCAAACAGCGGCGCAGAGACCGAGACCTCCGAGTCCTCGGCAGCAAGCGCCGCTAGCGTTGACTCACCCATCTCCTCCGATGAGTCCAGCAGCAGGTCACGGAGCATCGAGTCGTTCGAGCCGATCGAGAGCTGCGCCAGGAACGAGAGTTGTCGAGCTTGGCCAGCAGCGACTCATCACCCATGGCTGACACATCGATGTCGTCGTCCGACTCGCTGCCTGACTCGCTGCCTCTTGCCTCGGGCCGCGTCTCTTTTCCACGCACTGGCGAGATCTTGAGCTCATTCAAGTCCAGCCCGCCGCCAAGGCCGCGGAACCGCTTCGACGCCCGCCGAAGGCTCCCGGAGGCCAGCGACTTGCGGCCGTACGTCATTGAGACGTTCCCACCCGCCGCACCCTGACCACCACGCCCAATGTTGGTCACCTCTTCAAGTGGCATTGTTCCCTCACACACCACGTAGCGTCTCGAGTTGCGAGTGCAGTGCGTGCGCGTACCCTTCCTTTCCCCCCCCCCCCCCCCCGCCCCCCCGCCGCCGCGCCAACAGCAAAAGTTTGAATGCAGTTTGGATCTCCCCTCCCCGGACGCCACGCGGCATCTAGCCATCACTGCGATGTCAGGTCCTTCTATCTTACATCAACTCGTCTTCAAGAGCTACTTGGGACACCTGCACATGTGGATCGGTGGTCCTGGCTCCATCGAAATAGGTGGCCGATGTCGAGGTCGCATCCAAGTCGAGGTCGAGGTTGACAGCCCCAGCTCGTCCCGCCCAGCAAATCTGTGGCAACGTTCCTGGTCGGCGGGCAGGAGAAGCGCCCGGCCCGAAGCTGCTTCAGCACACAGCACCTCACTTTGCCCGAGCTCGAAGGCTATGAGTCGAGCACAACTCGAGGGCGAGCTTTTGAGCGAGCTGCATGCGCTTCGCAACCAGCCCCGGGCGTACGCTCAGCGGCTAGCACGCCTCCGCAGGCACTACGACGAGGCGTCCGGCATGCTCCGGCTGCCGGGGCAAACACCGATTCTGACAGCCGAAGGTGTCGCTGCGCTAGATGAGGCCATTGATGTGCTGGTGGAAATCGCGGCACCGCTGCCGCTGCTCACACCCTACCGCGGACTCGCCGCCGCCGCTGCTGAACACTGCGCGGATCTCGCGCGGACCGGCGAGGCCTCGCACTTTGGCTCGGACGGCTCAGCGCCGGCGCAGCGTGTAGAGCGGTATGGTAAGTGGCGAGTGGCAACAGCTGAGAACATTTCGTACGGCGGCGAGTCGGCCTTTCGCATCATGGCTAAGCTGCTTATCGACGACGGCGTGCCCGATCGTGGCCATCGTGCCACCATGCTGGACCCCGAATACGCCTGCGTCGGCATTGCTGTTGCGTCACACCCCGTCTACAACACCGTTGCCGTCTTCGAGTTTGCAGCCGTCTTTGAGGACGCGCTGGCAATTGCCCCGCCACCGTCACTTCTCTCTGATCCAACATGCCTTACCCCCAACGCCGCGCCGCCCGACGAAGGCACAGGACCACCGTGCGCCGGGTGCGGCGAGCGGATTGTCCGCACCGGTACACGCGCTCTCAACAAGGAGTGGCATCCAGAGTGTCTCAAATGTGCGGTGTGTGGCGATGTGCTCAACGGTGACTTTTTCACCAAAAACGGCGCCGTCTACTGCGAGCGCGACTTTAAGGACAGCTTTACTCCGCGCCGCTGCCCAGCGTGCCAAGTCCTCGTCTATGCCAATCCTGACACATCGATAGACGGCTCGTCGTGGCACTCGTGTTGCTTTGTCTGCTCCATTTGCGATGCGCCGCTGAGTGCAGAGACTGCAAGGCTCTCGCCAGACGGGTGCACACTGACGTGCTCCGAACACGCGCTAGAGCTCACACAGGCTAACGCGCACCCATCTTCTCTCACAGTACCAGAGCCACAACCACAAGTTGCACCCGCCAGTCCTGTGCAAAACACTACAAGACTCTCCATCTTCTCGCTCGGATCGTTGTCTGAGATGGTGGCCCAGCCCGGTGCAACAAGCAACGATGTGCCGCCCCTCCGTTTGACGCTGTCCCACAACCATCACAACCGTCGCACACCCAACCGCCGCCATTTGACACGGACGTCCTACCTGTCGAGTCTTCTGAGCCTTCTGCGGTACCTCCCAGATTTGACTCCTCTCGATTGGCTGTGTTTGGCCTTGGATCGCTCTCGGATATGGTGGCGCATCAAGCTGGCGTGCCCAAAAAGCCAGTTGATCAAGATCCTGCGATAGGGGAGCAGCCAGTGGCAAAACCGATGACACGGCTCTCTGTCTTTCGACTTGGCGCGCTGTCGGAAATGGTTGAACCGTCATCAACAGCAGCCCGCCCGCGGCCGGTACCGCGACCTCAACACGATCAAAACGCCGATCCGGCAAGCCAGACCATCAACGGCAGCACGATCTACAGCCTTCCGCCGCTCTCGGCGATGGCAGAGGGCTCCAGGAGGCCTACACTGGTGAGTCTTAGCCTTGGGCCTTCTCTGCAAGCCGAGGCGCTTTGCCAGACGCGCTTGTCGGCGCCCCCAGCAACTGGCCTTTCAACGACAGTCTTCGCAGAGCCGAGGCGGCCAGCAATGACGGCTCGGTCCAGAGCTCGAGCCCCATCTGGCACTCTCTCCGAACGATCGTCGCTTACGTACATCTCGCCCACCAAGATCGCTGCTGCCAACAAGGCTCCTCTTGAAGCCATCACTTCATCGTTCTCCTCCAACTTTGTGTAGCTCGGCAGGACGATGCACATCCGGAGAGTTAAACTGTGATGGCCACACCGTGAAAGTGATGTGATGCGTCCGTGCGCGCGCTTCCTCGCACCTGTGGTGAACGTTGCAATTGTGTCCTAGCCAATTAGCCACCACAGCCAACCCCGCGCCGTAGATTGTGACGTGTTGTGTCCTGTGTCTTGCGCCTCGCGTCTGACGAAAGCTGTGCTCATGCGCGAACAAAGAGTCACCCAACCAAACTCACCCCTAACCATCTCGACTGGCTCGATCTGCTTGACCTGCTTGACCGCCTTTGAGCGCGAAGCAATCATCTTCTGGCCCTCTTCCCAAGTTCACCAAGCCATGGCCTTGATTTTGTCGGTCAAGTGCCTGCACCCGCTTGTTATGCCACCGACATCGTCCGCTGTGGCATCGTGTTGAGGCCGAACGAGTTGACCAGCAACCGGAGCGAGTGGCGGCTCGTTCTGTCTTTGCCCGGCGGCACCCGCACCAGCACCACCACCAGCACCAGCACCACCAGCACTTCCCTCGCCGCGAAGGGGGCTCCATCCCAGAGTAAGCAACCCATAGCGGAGGGTGCGGCGCAACGTAGTGCAACGCATCCCAAGAGTGGGACGAGGGCGCATGGCACACCGCGCCAAGCGCGAGAGCGTGGGCAAGCCGTTCTACATTCTACCTCCCCTTCCCCCTCCTCCTCCTCCCCTTTCATACGCATACCCTTGCATGTGCTGTCATCCTCCCATACATATACAGCGCAGCGCGTAGCTTCCATGTCGTGGCTCGTGGCGAGCCGGGCCGGGCGTGGAGCTTTGACCCGAATGGCGATCGATCGTGGTAGCTGTCACAAGGCCGGCGAATGTGGTTCACGACCTTTTCTGGAGCGCACGCGCTCGACGTCGCACACTCACCTCGCGAACATACTAGTCGGGATGAGTGCTGATGCGACGAATCGGGACTCGCTAGACAAGCTGCAGGCTGCAGGTTTGCGTGGGCTCTCCCCTTCTCTTTGGCAAGCTATGCTTGCGGCAGACTGTGGCGTGACTGCCGAGACGGAGGAGATCGACACGGTCAAGGATGCTCTGGTGGCGTTTTGTGAGAAGCGGGCGGCTTCGGAGGTCGAGGGAGTGACCCTGTCTAGGGATGATTGGATTGAGGTTGCCAGCTCGTGTCTGAGTCACAACTTTGCGGCCAGCCTGTCCGTGGCTGGATTTGTGGACTTCATGCTCACTACTGCAGCGCGGGAGGCTCAGGCCAAGGCTGAGCTGGAAGCGCGGGAGGCTCAGGCCAAGGCTGAGCTGGAAGCGCAGATTGCGGACAAGGATGCCGAGATTGCGGACAAGGATGCCGAGATTGCGGACAAGGATGCCGAGATTGCGGAGCTCAAGGCGGTGTCACAGGTGTCCCCGACGTCGAGACTCGAGGTGCCGTACTTGAAGCCAGTGCGGGCCAAACACTTTGCGGGCGTTGTGCCGACCGGTAGCCGCTGGGTTGCCTCGCCCGAGCTTCTTCTTGCGCCAATGCTGATGGGTGAAGTGGTGATGGGTGTGCTCTCTCTTGGGACCAGCGGCACGGCCTCACTGGAAGTGCAGCATCTGGATGACATCCCGGATGCGTGGACAGGCTTTGTGGCATCTGGCCTGCGTAAGGCGAACACGATCGGAAGCACCGTAGTCTGCCACGAGCTCATCAAGGCTACCTTACCGCTGTTTCGGGGGCTCAGCAACAACCACAAGGTCCAGTCGTTCTACAGAGGCTCGGTTGGCGTGGCAGCGCTCGAGTCATCGTTGACTCATCGAGTGTGCGAGGGTCTGGGTCACGTCTTTGCCAACCAGCAAGGGACACGGGCTGGGTTCCACTCGTCCAGCTCTCAAAGCACATTCTCTGTGGCGTCACCTGCCAAGACCAACCCGAGCCACACGGACCGTGCACGTGCGAAGCGTACCGCAAACTCTTCGTCACGTAGCCACGAGCCGCAGACGTCCGGGCTGTACAGCAGCGCAGCCCGGATGAACATTGGGCGGGAGATTGCGGTCTCACATGGGCAAGGTTGGGACGGAGTGAGACCAGTTGACACCCAGCTCAGCACCAAGGTGGATGTGCTGTTTACGTTTGAGGAGAACGAGATGGTGCTGCCATTGGGACTGTGGGAGCCTGGATTCGATCCCAAATCGGCCCAGTGTCCGATCACCATGCACAAGAGGAAGCAGGCCTACGGCTACGCGCACAACCTCACGCGGGCCTCAGCGGGCTTTCCGCACACAATGGCGCTCGTGGCGCTGCGGTCCGAGTACCCGACGCGGGCCAACAAGGCTCTGCAGGTGCGGACGAAAATGGCGGTCGACGGCTATGTGCTCCAGGCTGAAAAGTGCCGCGCGCTTAAGGCCAAGGCCACCGACGATGAGCCTGTTGAGCACACCGAGCTGGTTCTGGACTGCGTCGAGCTGGTGCGAGCGCTGGAGGCGCCGGCGGAGCTGGAAGACGACGAAAAGTTTGACTGGTTCATGCGCAAGGTGAGCCAGTTTTCGCTGGCGATGTTTGCAGCGGCGCATGTGGCATCCGAGCGCCATGCCGTGGGCGGGGATGGGGGCGACGGGGTGAAGAACGTGTCGAAAGTGCTGTCCACAGAGGGTAAGATGGTGTACAAAGCGTTTGACGGCTCGAAGACCCGTTCGATCAACGAGCATCTTTGGCGCAAGTACGCAAGCGACGTGTTTGTGACCGGCCTGTACCAGGCTGTGGTGGACGACGAGACCGAGGAGGCGACGACTGACATGGGCATGGCATACCTTGTCGGCCGAGCCAAGGCGGCGGCGCAAGGTGCGGGTGCAAGCAGAGAAGCGCTGCCGTCGGACCGGGACGAGCTGCTGGCGAGCCTGGAGAACCTGATATCGGAGCAGCAGGGAACCGACAGCGACATTTGGGCGATGCAGGCAGCCTGCGATGATCTCCGTGCTGCAGCCAACAGCGGAGGTATGCCTGGCAAGCGGGTGCTGGGCAGCGACGGACGCTGGTACCGCGAATACGGACTAGTCATGCGTCTGGTGCCTGCAGTGGCCGACGTGACGGTGGCGCACTTTGTGTCGCTGTTCAAAACTCTCCAATGCATGGACAACGACGGAGTGGCCCACCTCGACATCCGCGACGCCAACTTGGTGTTTGGGGCCGACGGGAAGACACACATCATCGACTGGGATCTGGCCGGCGTGTCTGGAGAGGCTGTGTATCCGGTTGGGTTCAATTGGGTCACCGACGGCATGCGTGTCGAGTCGGTCATGGATGCTGTGGCCAAAAACGAGACCCCTACTGGCTACGCGTGGCACGACGTTGTGGGCGCGGGCGGGGTCATGAAGCTGTACTCCTGCGATTCAAAGGACAATCGGACGGTCTGGAAAAAGGTGACCGAGACCCTGGTGAATGTGGACGATGCCTCGTCGGCGAGGTCCGCTTTGGCAGTTGCCATTGAGGAGCTTAGCTCGAAGGAGAACGTTCGCTTGTGGTGCCTTGGGCGGGAGAAGACCGTCTTGGCAACTGACTCTCCTCCGCTCTCGCCCGATGGATCACCGGCTCGGGCGGCGGTGGGGTCGTCGTCAGCAGAGTCGTCGCCAGCTGGCTCATCATCGACCTAGCCGCCGTCAGGGGGTCGGTAGACCCAGAATCACCCCCCCCCCCCCTCCCCTCTGTTCCCGCCGCACCCGTTCCTTGAAGGCCGGGTCAGCAGCGACTACAGCTGTGGCAAGCTAATGTAAAACTCAACATTCACGGCTGCCCAGCGATCTCGTCGCACCCGAAACTGCGCGCGCCTCCAACCACCTCGGTCGTCCGAGCACAGTCAGCGACGTCTATCGGCCGCCCCTCCCCCTTCATCGACTCAGGAGCACACACACACACATTATCTCACACCTGAAACGGGGGAGACATCCATTGAGCCGTCGGTCCGCCGACGGTAACCAGTGCCGTCACATGCTGTCGGCACTAACATTCACATTGCCAGCCTTTCCCTGGTGGGCCGCCGGATGCTCGGTGGTCCTGAGCTGCAACCAGGACAGAGGATGGCCTCTTGGAGGGTGGGATGAGACGGAACGTCGGTCGTCGACGTCCCAGAGAGGGATTCCAAGTGAGCAGAGTACGCTGCAGTCGATGTTGAACACCCTACAAGTTGTAGGGTTGTATCTCTTGCGGATGTGCTTTAAGGCGGCCGTCTTCTCGCTTCTGTGAGATCAGTGATTTTGCATTTCTTGGGACCGGCGCACAATCCCACATCAGATGACACAACGGAATGGTGCCTTTCTGCTATACACCCTGCAACAACTCTCTAGCACGTGATCTGGAGCACAGGAGCTCTCAACGGCTCTGCTGTGTCTCGTCCATATTGTCAATGCCATACCGCAATGCCAAACTCTTCCCCCCCCCCCTCTCCACGCGATCCGACGCATCTGTCCCAAGGCAGGAGGGAGACGCTCTCCCTTGCTGGACAGCTAGCCCCTGCACCCCTGCAGGGTGGCGGATGACCCCTACTCGGCCCGGCTCGCGCTCACGCCGGCCCGATCCGTGTCCTGACTTTTACCCAAGGTCAGGCCCCAAGTCCAAACGCATCATGCGTGCGACGAGGCTCACAGGGAAGCTTGCGCCTAGAGTTCCAGGAGTCTGCAGGAAGCCCGTGCGACACTCGGTAGGTAGTTGTCACACATTGTCAGCTGAGTGCTGATAGCCGATCAGATCAGGAGCGCCCAGAGGCGGGTCCTTCGACAGAACGATGATCATGGCCGGATGATCGTTGTGCGACTCAATGGTGGAGACCTGATGCAGGCCCGGTATCTTCCGTTTGAGTGCCTCAGCAACCGAGACAGCCTTGGGCACAGCCCGTCCGCGAGCACGGATTTCAAGCATTGGACCCTCTGCAAGCACCTTTGCGCCGTATCCCACATACAACTTGACCTTACCTGCCCCTCCCTCCACACCCACCCCACAGCATCCATCCACAACAACAACATTCACAACGTGTCCGTGAGTCCCACTGTCGTTCGGATGACCCTCCCCCTCCCCCCCCCTCCCGCCTCACCTACCCTGTGTGGTCACACCAATGGCATGGGCGGGCAGGCCTCCGTTGGTGCCGGCCGGGCTGGAAGCAGCCATGCTAGATGCAAGTGCTGGCACTGGTGCTGGTGCTAGTTGGTCACTGCTTCTACCTTCAACCTCTACCTTCACCCGTGTCCACAGCGGACTCCGTGTGAGAGTTGAGTGGGCGTGCGAGTGCGGCCGGCGAGCTGTCCACAGTGGAAACGAGCTCAGCAGGCAGGTCGTTGGCGACGATTGCGTTCATTCCTCCTCCTCATCATTGTCGTCTTCGCCATCATTTTCGTTCTCGCCACTAGCTGGCCGAGTAGTAGATGATGATCTCTTGCGCTTGCGCCGCTTGCGACGGCTGCCGCTATCGCCAGATCTTGATCGGCGACGGCGGCGGGGATGACTACCACCTTGGTCGTCATCATCGCCGTCGTTGTCCGCCTCGTCGCCGGACTCGCTGTCATCCTGGCGGACATCAACATCGTCGTCGTCATCGTCGTCGTCGTCGCTGTCGTCGCTATCGTCGCTGTCGTTGTCGCCGTCGTTGCCATCGTCGTCGTAGGAGCTTTCGTTGTCGTCGCCTTCCTCGCCGACCGACGCTTGCTCGAGCTCGGCAAGTAGGAGTTCCGCCGAGGCCTCGACGGTGTCAGGAACGACCGAGACCGGAGCAGTCAGGGCAGCAGCGCCCCAGACCACATCCATCAGGTCGTCATCGTCGCCGCTAGCAGGAGCTGCTGGCGGCTCGGCAGACGTGGATGCTGGCTGTTCGTGAGCAGATAACGAGGACGGCTGAGGCGCCGGACTGGCGACAGCTTCGGGAGCGGGTACGATTTGCGGTGGCGCTTGCGGCTCCTGCTTGGCGAGGTCTGATGGACGCGACACCGGATCGAGGGTCTTGCGTGCCTTGCGAGGACCGGTTGGAGTCTGGTCGAGGTGCGGCGGGGCAGAGCGAGCGCGCTTGCGAGAAAGTCCGGGCGCCGAGGCCACGGCGGCCTCATCGGCCTCGTCGACGTTCTGAGGGCGCTTCTTGCGGAGCTCAGCAAGCGCGGTCTCCATTTCCTCATCGTCATGAACCGGACGGAGCTCTTGGGCTTTGGCGGCGGCTTCGACTGCGCGGTACTTGCCCATTTCAGCGATGGGCAAGCTGAAGCGGTCGACGTCGGCAGCGGGAGCGAGACGAACGCTCGGATCCAGCCGTGACCGCAGCAGGGCGAGTGAGTCAAGCAACTCTGTCGCTGGAATGTCAAAGACGTTCGTCGAGTGCACGGCAGTGTGGGTGGCGAGACTGGCGGTGGTGAGCGAGGCAGGTAGCGAGAGGCCATCAATCTCGTCGAGCTCAGGCGGTGGGGCGTCGCCGGAGGCGCCGGCACCGCTTTCGGCGCCAAAGCTGCGTGCGGCAGACGAGGCAGCCAGTGCCGCTTTGGGATCTTCCAGCACGTCTGACAGTGCGGCCGGAGCGGCAGCGGCGATGGCGGCATTGACATCGGCCACAAACTTGTCGGCTTCCTTTGCAGCCGCGGCTGTGGTAGACTTGAGCGAAGCTGGAATGGAAAAGTGGTATCCGACTAGCTGCGAGACGTCGGGCATGGCCGCCGGCGGAAGACCAAACTTCTTAAAGGCCTCACGCATTATGCGGATGTAGTAGCACGGGAGCGAGGCAAAGTAGGCTGCCATGGCAGCGCGCCAGCGCGGCGACGAGACGGCCGCGTTCTTGGACTCGACAGCCTCATCGAGGAGCGGCCAGAGATGGCCAAAGTTGTAGGGGAGGACGTAGAGGTGAACACGGTCGCGGGCAGGCGTCAATTTGAGCATGGCAAATGGGTAGCCGAGCGAGTCGGCCTGCGACGAGGAGCCAGGAACAAAGACGTGCCAAGCACCGGCTGGCGGATGGGCCCGCATAAATGCTGTGAGGGCACAATCCTGAACGTCATAGCGGTCGTAGGGAAAGCCTTCTGGGATGCGGCGCGAGGCATCCTTGATGAGGACGTGCAGGTCCGGGACGGCGCTGCGGGGCGGAAGTCGGGCGAGCGAGGTGGTGGGGAAGAAGTTCTCAGGAATGGGCCACATGCCGGTGCCAACGGCACTCGACAGGATAAGGCCCGACTCGGAGGCGAGGGTCTGCGGTGAGACCTTGTCCGGCAGACCGTCCGGGGCGGCAATCTTCCAGGTGATGTGAACGCGCGGGATGACCGGGAACATTGAATCGACAGCACGGAGGAGAGCCTTGAGCGACCAGGCTTCGACGACAGCGCCGCCGGTGACAAACGACATGGCGGCGGCTGGGACGCGCGACGAGGAGATGCGACGGTAGAGGAGGTCCTCTGGAATGGGCGTGTCCGGCGGGAGCGTCTGGCCGACCGGGGAGCGGAACGACGAGCCCCATTCGGATGGGACCGGCGTGGACGGTGAGCGCTTGGGCGGTGGGCCGGTGGCCGGAATGCGGAGGACAAGAGTGTGAACGGTCTGATCCCAGCGGAATGGCTCGCGGGTCAGCTCCATGCCCGGCCAGTGTGCCGGCGGGAGGGTGAGGGTCTTGGCCGGGCCGGACTCGGAGGTGAGCGACGAGCCGTCGGTAACGAGCAGGACCTGCGAGGGAACAGCGGCCGGGAGCGAGCGGCCGGCGGTGTACGAGTCGCTCTCGCGCTGCAGACGGAAGGCGTTGAGCAGCATGAAGGCGAGCTTGAGGGCCGAGCCGAGGTCTGTATAGTGGACAGGCCTGAGGGCGCGGAGGGCGGCGGCAAAGACCTCGTACGGCGCGCCCCAGCCTGCAGCCACAGCCTCCAGCCCTGGCGCGCAGGTGACGAGCATAAAGTGATCGCCGCGCCCGGGTGCCTCGCGCAGGCGATTCTTGACGAACCGCTCCACAGCGCCCTTTGCGGCGTCGAGGAGGGTCATGGCCGAGCCTGTGGTCTGGGCCATGGACACCGAGGTGTCGACCACAAAGACAAAGAGCATGGCGGGGGTGTGTGGAGGGTGTGGAGGGTGTGGAGGGAGTGGAGGGTGTGGAGAGTGTGGAGGGTGTGGAGGGATGGAGGGGCGGGATGAGGGAGAGAGCCAAGTGCAGAGCTTGCCTGTCTGCAGGCCGTGGTGTGTGGTGGCTGGGGAGGGGGGGG